TCCTTCCTTCCTTCCTTCCTTCCTTCCTTCCTTCCTTCCTTCCTTCCTTCCTTCCTCCTTTCCTCCCTCCCTCCCTCCTTCCCTCCCTTCCTCTCTCTCTTTCCCTCTTTTCCTCTATCCCTCTTTCCCTCTTTTCCTCTCTCTCTCTTTCTTTCTCTTTCTTTCTCCTCCTTCCTTCCTTCCTTCCTTCCTTCCTTCCTTCCTTCCTTCCTTCCTTCCTTCTTTCTTTCTTTCTTTCTTTCTTTCTTTCTTTCTTTCTTTTCCTTCCTTTGTTCAGACAGAGTCTCATTCTGTCACCCAGGCTGGAGTACAGTGGTGTCATCTCGGCTCACTGCAACCTCTGCCTCCTGGGTTCAAAAGATTCTCCTGCCTCAGCCTCCCCAGTGGCCAGGTTGGTCTCGAACTTCTGACCTCAGGTGATCCACCCACCTCAGCCTCCCAAAATGCTGGGATTATAGGTGTGAGCCACTGCGCCCCACCAAGAATCCACATTTCTAACAAGTTCCCTGGCCATACTGAAAATGCTGGTCCACCAAGCACACTTTGAGACCGTTTCTATAGAAATTCCCTACCTTATACCAGTTACTCAACTCCCGGCCCTTGGTCCATGTAATTCATGTTTATTCAACACTTACTTTGTGTTGGGCCCCAGGGATTCAGTATGAACAAGAGCTGACAATACAATAGGGGAGCAGAAGCAAACAAGTGGACAAACACCTCCCAACGATTCTGATATTTGGGGACTATGGAGTGGAGATGGTAGGAGGAAATCTTGGAGAAATGTTTTGGTGAGGCGAGCTAGGTGGTGATATGGAAACTGCCCAAAAGGCAGATGGACTGGAAGGGGAAGGCTGGTGAGGAGGGCCTCGGGGATGCACAAGCACGAACAATCAAGGTAGATTCATGTTTAGGATAATAAGCCATTATGAAACCTATTAATTATTAGGAAACATAATAAACATTGTGCAAGTCATAAGTGTTCACCACAGAACATTCAGAAAACAAAAGTAGAGAAAATAAGAAAGATTCCAGCCTCCCAGGGACCAACCTCTTGCTGCTCAGGAAACTGGTAGAGGGAACCAGACTTGGTGACTGAGGCTGTCCTTGAGTTTCCAGGCTGGGAGACAAGGGTGGGTGGTGGAGTATTACCCAAGACAGGGAATTCAGAAGGAAAAGCAGGCTTGGAGTGTGGCCGTGGGGACATGAGTCCAGTATGGGATTGGTTGATCGTTTGTGCATTGACAGTCCAGGAGGAGTTTGGGAGCCTTTGTCCTGAGCAGAGAGACACTGGAGGGGTGAACCCAGAGTCTCGCACATGGGTGGTGGCTGCCGGCCTGGGAGTTATAGGGAGAATTGATGAAGGCAGCTAGCAATAGGTGACAGGGTGCCTCTAGACAGACCCCTGAGGAGTGACAACGTGAAGGAGTGGGTGGAGGAAAAGGAGCTGGTACAGAACCAGACAAGTGGGCCAAGAGGCCAGCATGGAAATGCCAGTGCAGAGCCAGAGGTGACAAGGATCATCAGAAGCTGAAGAAGGGCTTGTGCAGTGGGCCTTTCTAATTTATGATAAAGAGAGCTGCTTGCTTCTTTATTGTTAAATAAAGCAGTCGTAGCTGCTTGCCTCTCAGGTGTGGAAATTCTGAGCAGGAATGTGTGATAGAAGAGCTGCTAGGAAAATAAAAAGACATAAGGGATCTGAACTCCTTGGCCATGGTCATGATTTTTCCTTCTTACAGGGTCAACGGGTACTAATTATTCTGACTATTGTTCCCAAGCAAGTTAGGCCTGGAGCCCACACTATTCCTGTAATCCAGATGCATATCCACATTAAAGATAATCCGTTTGTTCACTTAAAAAAAATGGGCTTGATGTCTCCTGAGGCAGATGACTTTGGTGCTCCTCACCACAGTTCCACATTCTCCCTCTGGCACCAGCTGCAGCCTAGCCAGGCTGGGCAGTTTTCAGCAGACAGCATTCCCACTTCAAGCTTTCAAAGCACCCTTCTCTGCTTATCTCCTTCAAAGTTCAGCCCCTGCAGAGGTTCAGCCTGTAAGTATGGGTGTTATCTCCCCGAAAGACAATCTTCAGCCAGTGGGGAATGGGAACCCCAGTCTCTCTGTATGAACCCTTCTGGAAGCATCTAAAAACTTCTCAACGGTCCTTTGCCTGTAGCGGTGAACTTGATAACAGTTCTCTCTCTCTCTCTCTCTCTCTCTCTCTCTCTCTCTCTCTCTCCCTCCCTCCCTATCCTTAGATGGGGTTTTACTGTGTCACCCAGGCTGGAGTGCAGTGGCACAAACCCAGCCTCCTGGCTTAAACAATCTTCCCACCTCAGCCTCCCAAGTAGCTGGGAACACAGGTGCACACCAACATACTCTGCTAATATTTTAATTTTTTGTAGAGACAGGTTCTCACTATGTTGCCTAGGCTGATCTCAAATTCCTAGGCTCAAGTGATCCTCCCTCCTCAGTCTCCCAAAGTGTTGGGATTACAAGCGTGAGCCACTGAGCCCAGTCGATAACATCTCTTTAGTTGGTTTTTCCTCCTTCTTCATCTTATTCTTCTCATCTCTTCCTCCTCTCCCAAATAAATGACATGTGCTCAAGTCTGTCTAATTTCAGTATAGCCCTAACAAAGACGCCAACTGTCTTTCACGCACTGTTGGGATTCAGTGGTGAGCAAGACAGACAAAATCCCTGTGCTTGTGTTGCTTCCATTCTAGTGGAGGAGACAGACAATTTAAAAAATACACAGCAGGCCGGGGGCGGTGGCTCACGCCTGTAATCCCAGCACTTTGGGAGGCTGAGGTTGGCAGATCACGAGGTCAGGAAATCGATACTATCCTGGCTAACACGGTGAAATCCTGTCTCTACTAAAAATACAAAAAAATTAGCCAGGCATGGTGGTAGGCGCCTGTAGTCCCAGCTACTCAGTAGACTGAAGCAGGAGAATGGTGTGAACCCAAGAGGCGGAGCTTGCAGTGAGCCGAGATCGCACCACCGCACTCCAGCCTGGGCAACAAAGTGAGACTCCGTCTCAAAAAAAAAAAAAAAAAAAAGTACATAGCAGGCATGGAAGGTGCACACATGTTTTCAAGAAAAGTAGAGCAGGGGGAGGGTCTGGGGAGGACTGGGCACCCGCATGAACGTATGCAAACCACTGCTGGAGGATGCCCTGTTAGGCTCTTTGCTGTGTAGACCTTGCTATGTATGTACATTATGGAGAAATGGTTTTGCTGTTCAGTCCAAATAGAGAAAAAGGAAGTTGTATGGGAGTTCGCACTGTTTGGAGATTGTTTTGTATTTCATCAAATGTGAGACGGTAATTAACTTTTCTCCCAAGCCCATTCTCTTGTCTCAGAAAAGGAATGAAAAAGTCAGTGCCCTCTGTGTTCTTCCCACCACCACCACTCTCCCGCATCACGGAGTGAGACGCGCCAGCTGGTCCCTGCCTTTATCCGGAGGACTAGGAGTGGAGGACGCCATATCCAGATGCTGCATTGGAAAGGGAATAGTGGAGAGAGGAAACCTGTGACTGCTGACTGGTTTGGAGTCTAGAAATTCCCATTTGATTGTGGTGAAATGAATTTAAGTGAGATCATGTTCGGAGTTGGGGAGGCATCCCTGAAGATTAGTCCCTGAAACAGATATATTTTCAATACAGGATTTTTTAATCGTGAGACCTAACTCAAAGACATATGTCCATTTTGTATCTGTAGAAAACTTAGTGGAATTTCCAGGGACAAGTTAGAGCCTCCTGATTTGTTATTCATAGAATTTAAGCTTGTTGCGAGCAAGCCCCACTTACCAGAGGGCAGGAGGCTATTTGCTGTGATCAGAAATGTGATGGTTAGAAGGCTTCTCTTTTGGGTCTTTTTTTTTCTCCTGAACATGTATTAAAATGCTATTATTTGTCCTGGAATATTTCAAAGGTCCACATAGCCAATATCATCTGCCAATATCTGGAATGATTAGACTGAAAAGAGAGAAGTAACTATGGTCATTATGAAGTGTTTCCTTTTTCTCATGATGACTTTCTTTAGAATAGCTTCTCATAGTTTGGGCTCCACAAAAGTAGAGCCTGGGACAGCACCTGGGTGCAGGTAATTTATTTGGGAGTGATTCCAAGGAAGCAAGAGTAAGGGAGAAGGGAAGAGAGAAGACAGTGAAGTAATGAGTAGAGTGGATGACTGCTGTAGACCCAGTTCCCTGGGGACTCTCTGAGATACCTCTTGGAACATGGCTCATAGCCAGCCTACCTGAGGCCAGGAGGAGTGCCTGGAGCACCAACTCCCATTTCTTATCAGTTGAGGGCTGTTCCAGCAGGTGTTAGCTCCCTCTCACTTCCAAATAGGCTTACCTGCTCCTGCAGAGCCAGAGAAAGCCCTCAGGCAGAGGAGAGAGAAGCAGATGGCTGAGGTGGGAATAGCTACACGAAAGGGAACATGAAGGGGAAATAAACAGTGACTGTGTTACTGTCAACTCAGGGTGCTATAACAAGTACCATGG